TGTCTGATATAAGTATTACTGCCCTGGTTATTTTTCCCTGTCCATTTGCTTGGTATATTTTTTCCCAACCCATCACTTTCAGTCTGTGTAGGTCTTTTGTTCTGAGGTAGGTCTCCTACAGGCAGCATACGTGTGGGTCATGTTTCCTTATCCATTCAGCTGCCCTGTGTCTTTTGTTTGGAGCATTTAATCCATTTACATTGAAGGTTACTATTGATGGGTTCTTATTCATTGCCATTTTACTCCCTTTGTACCTGTGTTCTTCTATCTCTCACTCTTTTTCTTCCTTAAGCAGCCCCTTTAGCATATCTTGCAGTGCTGGTTTGGTGGAGGAGTATTCTTTCAGCTTTGTTTTGTCTGGGGAACTCCTTATTTCCCCTTCCATTTTAATTGAGAGCCTTCCTGGAGAGTGTAGTCTTGGTTGGTGGCCTTTGCTTTTCATTACTTGAAATATTTCTTGCCAATCCCTTTTGGCTTGTTGCATTTCCATTGAGAATCAGCTGATGGCCTTTTTGGGGGTTCCCTTGTATGTTATTTCCTGTTTCTCCCTTGCTGCCTTTAAGATTCTCTCTTTGTCTTGAAATTTTGCCATTTTAATTATGATGTGTCTTGGAGTGGACCTCTTTGGGTTCCTCTTAATTGGGACCCTCTCTGCTTCCTGGATTTGTGTGACTTTCTCTCTTATTAAATTAGGGAAGTTTTCCATCATTACTTTCTCAAACAGGTTTTCTATCTCTTGCTCCTCTTGTTCTCCTTCTGGTGTCACTATTATACAGATATTATTATGTGTCATGTTGTCTTGCATTTTCCTTAAGCCTTCTTTGTCCTTTTCGATTTTCTGGCTCTTTCTGGGTGTTTTTTTCTACCTTGTCCTCCAGCTTGCTAATTTACATTGTTTCTTTCGTCTAGCCTGTTTTTGATTCCTTCTACTGTGTTCCTGAATTCAGAAATTGTATTCTTCATTTCCTCTTGGCTTTTGTTGATAGCTTCTATGTCCTTTTTCACACCTGTGTAATTTGCAGTAAGTTCCTTATAGCTTCCTTGTAGTCTTTGGTAAATCTCAATAAGCTCATTGAGCTTCCTTATACCCGCTGTTTTGAACTCAACATCTCATAGTTGATTGCCTCTACTTCATTTAGCATTCTTTCTGAGAATGCCTCCTCTCCTATAGTTGGGTGTTGTTTCTTTGTCTACCCACTATTTGAGATACTCCTTTTGTTTGCCTCTGCTTCTTAAATTGATTTGTTTTGACTCCCTGAGTTGCGGTGTGAACTTCTGTGGTAGGAGACCTGTGAGATTCAGCAGTGCAGTCTCCTTGATTTCTTGGACTTGCTGCTGTTGGGATGCCCTTTGTGCTGTTTATGTTGGCTTTCTGGATGTAACTGTTTTTTTTTTTTTTATTGTTTTGGAGTAGTTCTTTGTTGGGTCATTCTCTCCAGCTGGTTGAGTGAGAGTCCCTCCACCATCTTGGATGGTGTTGTGCTGGTGCTGCCAGAATAAAACCACAAAGTCCAGGGAACAAACCAACATCTGTAAAAATATCTCCCCTAGTAATTCCACTATCAACAGCAAATGAACCAGTATTAATAAGAGTGTAAAGAGGTTAAGACTACTATAGGAAGGGAGAGAAATAAACTGTAGTATAAAATCTAGTGATTTAATATGCATAAACTTGCTGGAGAAGAAATGAATGTTAAAAAGCTATGCAGGAAAGAAATTATTGCTAATCATGTAGAAGACCACAGTTGCATTTGTCTAGGTAGCCTCTAGTATTTGCCAGTGTTTTTTCTTTCTGGATCAATCTCTGCAGATGTCATTTGTTTACCCCTTCTGACCTTAGACAGCCTCCCCTGAAACTGAGTCCTTCAGTTATTAATGTAGTCACTCCACACTCAGTAGTCAGGCTTAAGCCCCATAGGGCTGTCCCTCTTTGTGTTGGGGCTATTGTTTCTCTTCGGGCTGCTGCTGTTTGGAGGGGAGTGGTCTGCCTTAGCAGGATGGCTGCTGTTGTATGGGCAATGACTCTGCACCGGAATCCCAGTGGCTATTCTCTCAGTCCTCTCCCCAAAGCTTCTGTCCCCAGTCTCTCTTCAGGCATCACCATTCCACTCTGCAGCCACCTTTGCCAGAGCCCTGGGTAAGTGGTTGTAAATGAAATTTGTGCAATGGACCTTTAAACAGCTCTTTGCATCTCTAGCCATCAGTCTCTGGCAGAGAACAATCCTGCTGCTTTTCACCACCAGTTGTTATCTGTGTACTTTTTGGGTTCGGGTACTCTAGGCTTGGGAACCCTGCTTAGGGTTTCAACCCCATTTTTCTCAGGGGGATCCAACTGGCTGCTTAATTATACCTCTGGTGCTGCTGCCTGTGGACACTCAGCCAGCTTTCTTGAGTCTCTGCTTTACTCCTTACCAGTCAGTTAGTGCTCGAAGATGATTCTTCAGTCAGACTGAGGTTATCAGGCTTATCTCTTGCTATTGTTCAGTTGTTTGTTCTGGGTGATTTCTCCACATTTTAGTTGTAATTCCAGATTGGTCCTGGGAGGATGTGGCTTCTATTTACTCATCCGTCATTTTGCCTCCCCTTCCTTTGCCTTCCTTTTAGGGCCTTGTAACAGTGTCCCTCCCGAAGAGGTTTATATATGTTGGTGCCCAAGTTTATAACAGACTGCTTCATAAACTACCAAGTTGGTTTACTAATTTACAAGGGTAGAAGTACGTATAGTAAAAGAACACTAAGTTTGGAGTGGGAAAACTCAAGTTCTGTGGCTGGTTTGAGAGCCTTTTCTTGTTATTCATAAGGAAACTATAGCTTAGAGGGATTATGTGAGGAAATTGTTCTATGTCATCTAAGCATCCTTTTTAGGTGAGGTTTAAATTGCAGACAACCAATTGGTTGAAAAAATTCACTTACTAATAGAGCTGAGAAGTGCCTTTTCTCCCCTTCCTAATACTGGTTTTAGCTTGTTATAAAAGTTGGAAGTAGCCTAAATGTGAAACATGGGGAATTGGTTATACAAGTTATGCTACATTCATACACTACATTTACAAGGGAAGATTATGCTGAAAAATTATGTAGAAGAATGTTTAATAACATGGATGATATAAAATATTTTACACAAAAAAGTTAACAAAATATTATATACAAACTGGGATTGTCTCTGGATTGTTTTAAACCCAGTTATAAGTTTTGATGCCAAAACAGACACTGCTTTGAATAAAAATGTTAACTGATGTGATAGTAGAAGTTGATTGTAGTGACCAACAAACAGCCTTGGTTATCTTTATGACCTCATGTTCTTTGGTCATCTCAACTCTTTGCTTAGTGAACACATGTTGCAAAAATGTGATTTTGTTATTGGAAATTTATTTTCCACCAGTTTCCACACTTTTAATACTATGAAAACTTTGCCTCCAAAGCCAATCAGGCATGAATGGGTAGACATTGCTTACACATTTTACAAAGAAACAGTCCTGGTAATTGTTGCTCAGTTGGTTGAGTTTTGTCCTGCCAACTGAAAGGTATCAGGTTTGATTCCTGGTCAAGATACATGCCTGGGTTGTGGGTTTGGTTCCTGGTCAGAGTGCCGACTAGAGACAGCTGGTTGATATTCCTCTCTCACATTGCTGTTTCTCTCCCTCCCTTCCCCTTTAGAGTCAGAAGAAGAAAGAAAATGATTTTAATAGAGAAACAAGGAGATTACCAAAAAACTCAAAACATATTCAAGTCAGTTTTAATCATTTGTGTTATTTCATCTGTTACCTTTTCTTATGACAAAAACAGGATCTTCTTACGACTTTCTCCCAAATCACAATATAAATAATAAGATGAAAGTAAAAACTTCTAAATACCCTGACCCTCTGTATATATTAACATTTGGTGTTTCTACAACGATATCCTTTGCTGTGCTTGTTTACACTTGGACATATAAATTTGCATGTCTATTATTTTTAAAATTAAAATAAGTTATTTTAAAACCAAAATATGGTATGCACACACACGTAAGTATACACATATACATATTGTATTTTGGTACTTAAAATAATACACAACCCTGGATGGGTGGTTCAGTTGGTCATAGCCTCTTTCCATGCACCAAAAGGTTGCAGGTTTGATTCCCAGTCCAAGCACATTGCTAGGTTGCAGGTTTGATCCTTAGGGTGTGTGTAGTAGGCATCCAATCGATGTTTCTCTTTCTCTTCCTTCCTTTCTCTCTCTCTCAAATCAGTAAATGTATTCTCTGGTGAGGATCTAAATAATAGTAATATACATACATACATAGGATATAGCTTTCCCATTTTGCTGTACTGTTTTATTCAAATGTTGTATATTGTTGTTAATGGCAGGTCAGGAGTTGTTCTTTGCTTAATCTAATATGTATTGTTACTGCTTTTCCTAACCTTTTACTTCATTAGTCACTTATTCATGGTGTTGTCATCTGTTGCTCAAATGGAAAGAATTTTTTTGCATTTTGGGCTGTATATGGCCCTATGTCTGGAAACATCAGAAGTCTTGATGTGTTACATGTGATGAACTGTAAAGTTAGTATAGATCTTCTTGTTTGTGTTTGGAGTGGTGGGGCCTCTGCTATAATTTTGGGCTCCTTAAACTGCCTGAGTATATGGTATGTACTTCTGGTGCCTCAGTAGACTCCCTGACATAGGTGAGAAGATGGCTTGAATCCTCACACAGATTAAATAATAATGACCATATTGAATACTCATGTAGTAGTTCAGAGTTTACAAAATGATTTTACTTACATCCTTTTGACAGTATCTCCATTGTAGGATTATTATCTCCTTGTCAGAGTTGAACCTTAAAAGTATTATTTCATACATCAAACAGTATACAACTTGAACCTGAGCCTTTTGATTTCATATCCCTGTGGTCATTCCATTAAGTCATGCCTCTCTTTTTATGGATAAAGGTTGTGATAGGAAAATCAATCCTGCTTTCCAGTGTTATTGATTTTTAACTTTATTTTTTTTAATGTATTTGAGTTCTCAGTAGTTTTCAATCTCCTGCTGACCGGAACTCCCATCCAGAACAGCCTCCAAGAGCTCTACTCCCTTCTCAGTTTTGTGGAGCCCGATGTCTTTTCCAAGGAGCAGGTAGAAGACTTTGTTCAGCGTTACCAGGATATTGAGCAAGAGTCTGAGTCAGGCAAGTGCCCTTCTGACAAATTGTTCCCAAGAAGCCTGGGCCCAGAAACTGCCCTAGTACAAAATAGATAATGGTTATAGATAGAAAAGAGAGAATCAATATCCAGAGGATACCCTCCAGGAAGTTAAAGAGTCACACAAAAATCAGATGATGGTAGGTTACTCATGTTATTCCCAGTTGTCTGCTGTCGTGACTCTCTTATTTGTTACATGAGTCTACAATTAGCCTTCTTTGGGTCATTTTTGGAAGAAATAGAAGGTGTCTGCTGATTTTCAGACTTTTTTTTTCCAACATATAATTTCTATAAGCACTTTATTAAGTTACTGTGCTACTTCCTGAGGCGGGAAAGTATTTGGGTGTTATAGCCCCAAACTACTGTTCAGCATTCCATAGCACTGGCGCTTTCAACATGGTACCAGAACCAAAAGTCTGGGATGAATGGGTGGTGAGAGTGAAGGAGGCAAGTTTTCCTCATTCATACATCTGCCAGTTGTAGCCTTCTTCCTCTCACATCTTTGTACCTCTGCTTCATTAATTATCTCTATATCCCCGTAATATTATCCTAGGCTGTTTATTCAAGACAAATCGCAGGCATTCTGCTTAGTGAGTTTGAATGTATTTACTGAATATGAGTTGGAAAGCCTTCTCACACAAAAATCCCGGTACCTCAGGTTGAAGATTCCCTGGGAAACCTGCTCTGATTGCCCACATGCTTAGGGTTGCCAGATAAAATACATGATACCTAGTCAAATAATACATGGGACATACTCATATTAAAATTATTTGTTATTTATCTGAAATTCAGACTTATCTTGGCTCTTGTATTTTTATTTGATGTATCTGGCAGTTGTACATTTGGTGTAATTCCAATTTTGGATAGCTTTTGGAGTTTACCACACTTGGGGGATGAACAAGGGAGATTAAGTCAGAAGAACTAAGTTTGAATGCTAGCAACAGTGGCATCTAGTTTTTTGACTTTGGGTAAGATGCTTAATTTTTGTGAGCTTCACTTATCTCTAGAAATGGGGACAAGATTACTTACCTGCCCTGAATTTCTAAGATGCTATGCTGATCAATGAGATTATTGGTAAAAATGAAGTTCTTTGAGTGTTCCTAGTTCTTGTTAAGAGCTAGTAATGATTTCAGAAGGATTAGAAAGAACCCAGTGAAGGAAGAAACACTGAAAAATTACCATATTGGCTTAGAATGAGGAATTGGCATGAAAATGAGAAATAAAAATAATACTCATAAATTGCTGTATGTTCTCTAATAGTTTGTCTTACTTCCATTTCACATTTCTTGTGTTTTTTTCTTATGCAGCAAGTGAACTACATAAACTTTTGCAGCCATTTCTGCTGAGGCGAGTGAAAGCTGATGTAGCTACTGAGCTTCCTAAGAAGACAGAAGTAGTGATATACCATGGCATGTCAGCATTGCAGAAAAAATACTACAAGGCCATTTTGATGAAAGATCTAGGTACTCAGAGGGCACTTGTCTGTTTGGAAACTAAATAAAGATGTGGTCTTCATGCAGGAAATTATTTTATAATCATAGTTACTTTGTATGGGAAGACTATGGGATGGAATTTTGTATTCTGCATATATTCAGGTCATCTGCAGTGAAACTGGCTGAGTGTCTTTAGTATAGCTCACACTTTATTTGTTGCTGCAGTTGTGAAATTTCCTCCCTCTCCCCCCAGCTCAATTTTTGTTATTGTCTGTGGTTAAGCACACACTTCTAGGTGTTGCAGTAATGCCTTTCATTTTCCTACCTTGTTAGATACTTAATTTTTAAAATGTTTTTGTTGAATCAAATTTACTGGGAGAAATTGGGAGTGAAAAGGAGAAATAGAAGTGGAACAGTTTCTAAGTTTGTATTTTTCTGTCCCTTGGCTCCAGAGCAGTGATTAAAGAAGGAAATTTAGAATACAAAAGAGTAACAAAGTACTCCTGAGTTTAAATTATGGTTAGGGTCCTTAACACAAAGTGGTGGTTGAGGAAATTTCATATGGACACACTATTAATTCTTACTGTAATTCAGTGAAATTTGGGAGGTTAATATAGGTTTGAAAGGTATATTAAAATGAGTAAGATTATTTATGGAAACTTAGAGGGTTTGTTTTTTTGTTCAGTAGTCCATCTCTCTGCCTCCTTCTTATTTATTTATTTTTTTACATTTCAGATGCATTTGAAAATGAGATGGCAAAGAAAGTTAAACTTCAGAATGTCTTGTCCCAGCTTCGAAAGTGTGTGGATCACCCATATTTATTTGATGGTGAGGCAGTTCCCCTTTTCTCACATTATTTTTTGTTAATATTTCTGTGGCCAACATAACAAATTTTTTCAAAAGAATTGCTTGTATTTGCTGTCTATTTTTCGCCATTTTATTAATATTTTATGTTGATGTTATTTAATATATTGATCATACTCAATTTTTTCAGTTGTCCCTTATAGTATCCCTAAGACTGTTTTACTTTTTCCTTTTTCAATTTAAGATTCATTCATAAACTCTGCTTGCGTTTGTCATGTTTCTTTATTTTCCTGTAATTTAGAATCATCTCTTACCTTGTTTAGCCCTTTTTGCCTTTCATGAAATTGACAGTTTTGAAGAATCAAGGCCATTTATTTTAGGGGATGTCTTATAATTTGGATTTATCTAATCATTTTTATATGATAAGACATCCCTTTGTCTTGAACCCACTCAGCCTGTCATTACTACTGTTCTTAGTTTACCAATGTTCTCCATGTTGCCCAAGCAGTGATTGGCAGTTAACTTTTTTTTTATTAATAAAGTGTGCATTTTTTAAAAAGATTTTATTTATTTATTTTTAGAGGGAGAGGAAGGGAAGGACAAAGTGAGGGAGAGAAACATCAATGTGTGGTTGCTTCTTGTGCGCCTCTTGGCTGGGGTAACCCAGGCATGTGCCCTGACTGGGAATCGAACTGCAGCCCTTTGGTTCTCAGGCCCACGCTCAGTCCACTGAGCTCCACCAGCCAGGCTGTCAGTTTACACTTTAATTAATGCCTCAAAACTTTTGACATAGTTGATCACTTCTTTCTTGTTCTTCACTTGGTTTTTGGGACAGTACTTTCTCTTTTCTGCCTTGTTACATCTGCTTCTTCTCAGCCTACTTTGCTGCTTCCCTTTCCTCTTACAGATGTCTGTACATTCTCTCTAAGTGCTGTGTTAGCTGTATTCTGTACATTTTGATATGTAATATTTTCATTTTCATTCAAACCGTTTTGTTTTCTTTTTAATTTATTGTTGCTCACTTACAGTTGTCCCACCTTTTTTCCCATTGCTCACCCCTATGCCCCTCCTACTCCCACAGTCAGTCCCCCCATTGTCTGTGCCCATGAGTCCTCTATTTGTGTTCCTTTTCTTGCCCCTTCCCCTTCTTTCACCTATTATCCTCCTCCCCCCACCCCTCTGGTCACTGCCAGTCAAACTGTTTTTTTTTTATTCACTCTGGTAGCCTTTGGGAAAGTTTCAGGACTCCTGTGGTGGTAGGGGCTCTGCTATGGATAGAACCAATGCAGAAGGTTGCTGCAGTCATTTTAAGGGCATCTTTGCCAAGTAGCACTAAAAATTGTTTTAAAATGTCACAGCATCCTAATTAGGTGCATATTGGGACTTTTTTTTTTCCAGGAAGGGGTATGTTGGGAACATGTACATTTTAAAAGAAGCCCTCCAGGTTAATCTGACTGCTGTCCTCCACCTTGAGAATTACTAGTTTATACAGCTAAGCCTATTTCTTGATTTGTTTTCTAGAGCAAAAGACTCTAGATTTCAATTTTGGGTGTCTTTGGTCTCCCTGTGCCTCAGTTTCCTAGAGTTGGTTTGTTCCTTGGATAAACAGTTATTAGGCATATAGGTATATCAGGCTCTGTGATTGATAATAAGCAGCACTAAGATCTTCATGCAAACAATTATAAATTGCCTCAAAGAGAGATGAGACTTGGGCCCATTATCAATTAGAGGGAGCTGGGCCATGAGCCTCTCCATTCACAGAGTCTGGCCTGACTGAGGACACACTGTTGAGAGTGGGTTCTTTCTTTTCCAGGTGTGGAACCAGAGCCTTTTGAAATTGGAGAACACCTGATTGAGGCCAGTGGGAAACTTCATCTGCTGGATAAGCTGTTGGCATACCTGTATTCCAGGTAGGTGGTAGGATCACGTGTTCTGCTCTGAGCTGGTAACTGTTGAAATGAGTATAATCAGCAACTCACTGATTTTTTGAGACTATTTCCAGTTTTACTTTTTTCAAGACCCTGATTCAGGTTCTACTTGTACTATACCTTCTACCCCATTCCTTCCCATCCTACCCCATCTCCTCCATAATCATCCTTTCCTTTCCTGAATTATTACAGCACTTAGGATCCTAATCCAGCACGTGGCCATATACTGCCTTAATCTGCTAGCTAATTAATTGGCAGTATATTAACTGTATCACTGCAGCTATGTTGTTCAGTTCCACAGGGACAGAGGTAACATCAAGCATATCTTTTTTAGTTTACTTCTGGTGCCTTGTATTGAATTGATACATAGTAAGGGCATAGTAAATATTCACTTTTGTTAACGTGTGGTTTTTTAAAAAAGATTTTATTTATTTATTTTTTGAGAGAGGGAAAGGGAGGAAGAAAGAGAGGGAGAGTAATATCTATTGATTGTTTCTTATATGCACCCCGACCTGAGACTGAATCCCCAACCCAGGCATGTGCCCTGACTGCTAATCAAACTGGCAGTGTTCACTTTGTAGAATGACACCCACCAACTGAGCCACACAGGTCAGGGTGATGTTTTGGTTTTAACTTAGAACTTGGGAGACTTGATCTCAGAGACATGAGTTGGGCATTGGAAGACCAAGTCATTTTTGGAGCATCTAAGAGTTCAGCTAAGTGTTCAGTATCCTGGTGTGCAGCCTGTATCAGATCCTCCTAGTCCTCAGAGAAGTCTCATTTTCCAAAGAATTTCACAGTTGTCCCTAGGAACTACTACCCCAAGTGGGCCTCAACCAACCTAATACCTCAAATTTGGCAAAAGCACCCAACATTAGGAATGTGCTAGTCAAATAATTGCATGTCTTACTATATGTTTTTTGGCTTTGATATATCTACTGTGAGTGCATTAGAGTTGGAAAAGACCCATAAATGTCTTCTCTCTAATCATTTTATTTCACAGGTGTTGAAATAGGCTTAGAGAGGTCGTGTGACTTGTCTAAGGTCGTATAGCCAGCAGTTGACAGAGATGGGATTAGGATTGAGGTCCTCAACTTTTAAATTTAATGCCTTTTCCTATTTTGGACTAGAATCTTTAAGGAATTCTTTATAATTCTTCCTCTTACAACCACTGCAAGCTCAGATTAAATTAGGTTTCCTAGTGAGAGTATTTAATTGACAGTGCCATACTTCTTTACGCAAACTTAAAATAACAGGTGATAACATGGGGCTCTAGGCTTGACTTAATTGTTGACTTAATCCATTTTGTCTCTTCCTCTCCTCTCTTCTCCCTAATATATAAGTTTTCTCATGTATCATATGGGATATAACCTGCCCCTTGTATCTCTAAAGTGATGTTTCACAGACTTTTCAACAATCATAGCTGTATAGAAGAGGATAGTGACTTTATACCTCCAAGTAGAGAATAGTTGTAGATGGCTGACCACGAGCTCTTTAGAGTTTTCAATTTTTGGAGTTTTTTTGCTTGTTTTTGTGCAGTCAAATTTTGCGTTTTACTTTTAACATATCTTTATTTGCTGTTAAAAGTGTATTCTTTTCCATTTTGTAAATTGATAAAGAGGCACCTTGGTTATCCTAGGGCTTTGTACACTCCTTGGTGCATTGACACATGCCTCCAGGAATATCCCCACTCTGGTTTGAGAACTATTGCTCTGAAGGATACAGTTACATTTGGACCTATGTCCTTACATAAGGCATTTAGCATTTCTGAGAAAGTCTCTGTCAATGATTATGACATTTATATTTCTAGTTTAGTATTTCATGTATTTACAAACTTGCATTCTTTGGTAAGTTTCACCTGAAACTTTTATTTTTCTTGCTAGGGGCCATCGAGTTTTACTTTTCTCCCAAATGACCCAGATGTTGGACATTCTCCAAGACTACATGGATTATAGAGGTGACATTTCTTGGCTGCTACGTTACTCAGCCTATTTTAGACTTAATAGTTCAGATAGGTCCATGAAGAGTAATCTAGGGTATGGGGATGTTACAGAGGAAAGTAGTAAAAGAAAATTACTCAGAACCAAAGGAAGATTGAAAGTAAGGAGAGGAGTATGTGACATAAGGATTGACAGCAGGGTGGAGACATGTAGGCAGAACTAAACACATATTCCCATTGGTGATGTGATTTAAAAATATGGGTACTGGAGAACATGTGTGTTGAAGAAATGTTGAGAATTTTTGAAAATATATGATATAACAGTTTCAGTTACAGTTGCTGTCAGTGTTCTGTAACATTTATCTCAACAGTTGAGTAACTGTTCGGGATCAGTAGAAAAGATGCATACTGAAATTATATAGATCCCACTTATCAACCAAGAAAAAGGTAAAGGAAATTTTTATTCTATATAGACAAAGACATAAGGAATGTAAGTTATTACCAGAGACTCTATTTAATGTATAATAAAATTTGTGTGGGATGATGGGAAGCGGCTATAATATTGGTTGATTAAGATCAGTTGTGAAGAAGTAGCCACTCCAGACCTTCCTATTTAAGAAATGAACTTGAGACTCTGGTCAGGATAGCAGTATAGGTGAATGAGGTTCTCAAATCCTTCCACAACTACATCAAAATTATAACTAAACTATAAATAACCATTATTCAGAACCACCTTAAATCTTAAAGGAAATCCTACAAGTAGAGATTTAAAGAAGGAGCCACATCGAGATAGGTAGGAGAGTGGAGACCCAGATGGGCTGGCCCCACACCCAAGTGTAGTAATTTAAGAACAAGAGGGCTATCTCGGCTGCAGAGGTCCACCCTGAGGAGCATGGGGTCCCAGCCCGACACCAGGCCACCTTGCCCAGGGTTCCAGAGTCAGAAAGAGATGTCCTTATAACTACTGGCTATAAAAATTAGCAAGGATTGGAGGCTTCTGGAGTCCCAGCCAGTTCCTCTTAAAGGGCCTGTGTACATACTTATTCACATTCACTCTCTCTGAACTCCAGCACTGGGGCAGCAGCTTGAAAGGAAGCACGGGTATACGGGGGAATTGAATTGTTCTGGCATTAAGGCTAGAGGTGGTGGGGGGCAGCTTTATGCTGGATAAGAGTGCTGGCAGAGGCCATTGTTCCTTTTCTGAGACCTGTCTCTATAGAGCTGGCAGGCAGGTGCCATATTTGAGTCTTTTGTTAACTTGGCTCACAGTGTTTGTTCCACCCTACTTGTGGACCCACCCAAGCTGTTTCCAGTGGCTTTTCCATACAAATGTCCTCTCTTGTGTTGTGCTTTGGACTTTTCTAAAATCTCTCAAACAACTAGCATCTGGCCTCAGAATGCATCTGGCCACAGAAAACCCCATACCTTTTGCTAAGTGGCCTCAGGCCAGCCACTAGCAGCAGCTGTCCTTGGTTTGTAGTTTGGCCTCTCCTGGGTACCTCCAAGCCCAGCACAAGTAGCAGCCATCTGAAGATCACTCTGTAGCTTGTGCTGGGTGGCTTCAGGCAGGACATGGACAGTGGCTAACCTTGCACTTCTTGGGAAGCCCCAGAACCAGTGCACCTGGAAAGCTTTATTTATTTATTTAAGATTTCAAAAAATTTATTTTTAGACAGAGGGGAAGGGAGGGAGAGAAATATCAACGTGTGGTTGCACTTGTGCAGCCCCTTCTGGGGACCTTGCCCACAACCTATGCATGTGTCCTGACTGGGAATCGAAACAATGACCCTTTGGTTTGCAGGCCGGCACTCAATCCACTGAGCCACACCAGCCAGGGCACTGGACAGCTTTAGATCATGCCAATTACAACCTACCACCTCCACAAGCAACACTCTTAAGGGGCAGACTCAGTGACGACCAAAGTCCCACTAAAGCAAGTTCTTGTAGGGTCCATTTCTGCTGTGTGCAGCCAGTCCTGCAGCTGATTGCCCTGGGGGTCAATTCCTTTGATGCCAACAACAATTAAAGCTCAACTGCAACAGAACAGTGCATATAGCCCACATGGGTACACCTGGAGCACCCAACTTGGGTGACTGGGGAAGCTGTGCCACAGGGCCCTACAAGATACCTACTTCACAAGACCAAGTCTGGGAGATGTAGCAGCTCTACCTAATACATATAAACAAACACTGGGAAGCAACCAGTATGAGGAGACAGAAACAGGTCCCAAATGAAAAACCTTGAGAAATCTCCAGAAAAGAAATAAATGAAATGGAGGCAAACTGCCAGATACAGAATTCAAAAAAATGGTTATAAGGTTGCTGAAGGAACTTAGTAAGAACTTAAATAGCATGAAAAAGGATGTAGAAACCATAAAAAAGAACCAGTTCAAAATAAATGGTATAGTAACTGAAATTAAGAATAATTTATGGAGAATTAACAGTAGAGTAGATGAAGCCAGGAATCAAACAGTGATTTGGAATATAAGAAGCAGGAAACACCCAATCAGAACAGCAAAAAGAAAAAAGAATTAAAAAAAACAAAGATAGTATAAGGAGGTCCTGGAAAAACTTCAAGCTTACCAACGTTTGTATCATGGGTGCCAGAAGGAAAAGAGAGAAGAAAATAAAAACCTACTTAAAAAAACAAGGACTAAAAAATTCATTAACCTGGTGAAGGAAATAGACATACAAGTCCAGGAAGCACAGATAGTCCCACACCAAGACATGTCATAATTAAAATGGCAAAAGTTAAAGATAGAATCTTAAAAATAACAAGAGGAAAGCAGTTAGTTACCTACAAGGGAGATCTCATTAAGATTGTCAACTGACCTGGCTGGTGTAGCTCAGTGGATTAAGCATGGGCCTGTGAGCCAAAGTATTGTTGGTTCAGTTTCCAGTTGGGGCATGTGCCTGGGTTGTGGGCCACCCAATAGGGGACATGCAAGAGGCAACCACACATTCATGTTTCTCTCCCTTTCTTTCTCCATCCCTTCCCCTTTCTTTAAAAATAATAAATAAAATCTTAAAAACAAAAGAGTGCCAGCTGATTTCTCAACAGAAACTTTGCAGGCCAGAAGGGAATGGCAAGAAATAGGCAAAATGATAAGAGGCAAGAACCTACAACCAAGATTACTCTACCCAGCAAGGATATCTTTTAGAATTGAAAGACAGATAAAGAGATTATCAGACAAGGAAAAGCTAAAAGAGTTCATCACTACCAAACCAATATTACATGAAATGTTAATGGGTCTTTTTTAAGACAAAGAAAAAAAGATAAAAACATGAAAATAAAATTGCAATAAGTGCATATCAATAATTGAATTTAAAAAACAAATGAACAACTAGTACAGAAACAGACTCATAGGTACAGAGAACATTTTGACAGTTGACAAATAGGGAGAGTGTGAGGGGATGGGTTGAAAAAGCGAAGGGATTAAGAAGTGTAAATTGGTTGTTAGAGAATAGTCATGCGGATGTAAAGTAATAACTGTATGGTGTTAGATGGGTATGAGATTTATCAGGGTGATCACTTAGTAAGTTGTATAATGTCTAATCACTGGGTGACATAGCAGCTCTACCTAATACCTATAAACAAACCTGAAACTAATGCAATATTTTATGTCAACTGTAATTGAAAAATTAAAAATGATTAAAAAAATAAATGAACTCATAGTCTTTCAGAGCCACTTGCTGCCCCACCCGTGGACACCTAGTTCAGTGGACACTTGCAGGAAATGCCATTGGCACATTAAGGAATCTCCAGATTTACAAACAAGACTTGAGCATATAATTCCCCTTCTCAAGGTGGATCTGTGGTAGAGCCTGAAGTGTTAATAAAAGGCAGCTGCTGGGCTATCAAGCAGGCTCACTTACCATCTCCCAAGTGTTGGTCTTACTGTTTATGTATCTAAGAATTGTGTCTTAGCAAAATTGGAAACTGCCCCACAACATGTTCACAGTGTGCTTCAGGGTTGCTTGGATAGTCAGAATTGAATATTAAGTCCAGGAATGGCAAGTAGATCAATTGCGTGTATTTAAAAAATCCAGAGGAGAGTATATTATGGTAAGTTCTTTGGTAAAACAATAAAATGACCCTTAGATTTATATTTTGTCCATGGGATTTGGTTAAAGTAGGGGCATGCCTATATGTGGAAAGGGACAAAAAGTAGCATTTGGTTTTGATCTGACAATGTTTTATTCTGTACAGAGTATTTGAAAAGGGTTAATATTTGTTTTATTCCCATGTGTGAAGGTTACAGCTACGAGCGTGTGGATGGTTCTGTGAGAGGAGAAGAGAGATACCTGGCCATTAAGAACTTTGGTCAGCAGCCCGTTTTTATATTTCTTCTGAGTACCAGAGCAGGTAAGCCAGGGCTTTATCATCCCAACACTTGGTGTCTGTTTTTCTTATTTTTCTAAAAGTTGAGGTCACTAACCCAAAAGTATAAAAAAGGGGGATTTAGGTAGTTGTCAAAAATTTATAAAGGTACTGGATTTGGCATGGTATTTCCTTTATATTCAGCCTATCTAAGCTCTCATGTCACTGAAGAAGTAAGGCTGAAATCTGAGGTTGTTGAGGAATAATTCTAATCTGCTTTAACCATTGACCTGGGATTGTCTCAGATTTCAATAATTTTGTGGAAAGTTTTATTCATAATTCAGTAGAGGTAGCTCTCCTCAGCCATGAATCTCAAAATGAGATAACAACTTATCCACTACCTAGCTCCCTTCTCCATAAGTAGCTCTGAAATAGTGTAACAGGTTAAAACTCTAGGTTTTTTTAAAAATTAGGATTATGGGTTTCTAAGATGGCTGTGGAGTAGATAGAAGCTACACTTGCCTCTTCTCAGTGCTAAACCAGATTTACAACTAAATTAAAGATCAACCAACCTGAATTACCAACTGAAGACTAGCTGAACCCAAAGTCTTGTAGCCAAGAATTTACAAAAGAAGCCACATAGAGACTGGTAGGAAGGATGGAGATGCTGGGAGGGCTGGCCCTAAACCCATGTGTGGCAGTTGCTGGGATCCCCAGCCTAGAACACCAAAGCTAGGAAGAGGAGCCCACATAATATCTGGCCGTGAAAATCAGTGGGGATTCTGTGTTTCAGCGAGAGATGGGAGGCTGATAGGAACTCAGGTACTCTCTTAAGGAGCCAGCACTCAAAATCTCATTCTCAGCCACTTATCCAGTGCTCAGAGGAAAGGGAAGGTGATTCAGAACAAATTGGAGTCATATAGAGAACTGTGTTGTGTGATCCTAAGGAGAGACTTGGAGAATCAGCCACCAAGTCCTTGTGCTGTGTTGCCATCTTTCCTGCATTGGACTCTACAATACATATAGCACCAACCTGTAGAGTATACTAACTCTGTGCCCCTGACTCTCAGTGACCCCACCCTACGGAATTCATGCCCTGTAGAAAAGTCTGCTGCAGCTTGGGTGCAGTGTGCTTTGTCTTGTGGAGCAATTAATGAGATTTAGGCAAACCCAGGAGTTGTCAGAGACTTGGGCAGTCACTGAATTGTGTAGCTCTCAAGTGGATCCATTTCTCTACTGCCTATGTGCCACTGGTGCTGCTCCCCCAAGGGGAGACCTGCTAACTCTGTCCTCCCAGCACCCAGTGTTACTTCCCCACCAAGCTTACATCCTGCAGAAACGTCTTCTGTTTGCATCCAGCCAGGACATTTGGTGTGCTTTTTTCTTGAGGAGCTCTTGTTGGAGATTTGGAGAGATGCTGAGTTGTATGGCACCAGAGTGGGGGCCATCTCCCCTCCCCCAGCCCCCCCCCCCCCATATACTACTAGCTCCATTCATCCAACTCCTGGTAACCCTGTACTGCTGAGCTCATGTTCTGCAGAAAAGTCTGCTGGCTGCACCCAGTCTGGACCTGTGGTGCACTTTTTCTTGGGAACCTCTGTTGGAAACTTGGAAGACACTGAGTTTTGTGGTTTTGGAGTGGGGGCTGTTCCCCCAGCACACACGTCATTGGCACTGTACCCCAATTGCAGATCCACTCACCCTGGCCTCCTAACTACTGGTGGCCCTGCCCTACTGAGCTCACACCCTGCAGAAATGTCTGATGGATGCACCCAACCTGGATCTGCATGCTCTCTTTGTTAGGGAGCTCTGGTTAAAGACTTGGGCAGAGACTGAGTTGTGTGGATCTGGAGTAAGTGCTATTCCCACTGTACTCTCCACCTCCTACCCTCCAGTGACTGACCAGAGCTGTCCCCACACTGGAGATCTCTTAGACTGGTCCTCCTGACCCCTGGTTTCTTCACCTTGCTGAACTTGCATCTTTGGGAAGAAACTGTGGGTTGCAGCCACCCTGGACCCACCCTATAGACTTTATTCAGAAGGCTTTTGAGGAAGTCCAGGCTGCCTCAGGGCAGCAGAGTAGCCAATAGGTGGAGGCAGTACTCAGGGTACCTTGGGCATTTTATTGACCTGCCCCCAAGCTCAGAGCTGGTGGAGGCAGACCTTGCTACACAGCTTGGTCCCTCCCAATTGTACCCAAGCCCACCATAGGCAGCCACAAACTGAGAATTGCTTGGTAGCTCCAGACAGGTAGCCCAAGGCCTGTTATAGGTAGTGTCTGACATTGATTTGCACTGGTGTCCCTCCCAAGAGTACCCAGAACCAACACAATAGGTGGTGAGCTTTGGACCACACAAGAGCATGACCCATCTAGCCACATAAGTGGCACACCCCAAGGGAGATCCTGGCAGTCACCAGACCCTGCTGGGGCCAACTCTGTTATTGGGGGAAGGGGAGCATCTACACAGTGACTCATTACTGTGGTCAGGGTCAATCCTTGTAGTCAGCCAGACTGAGAGTCAGTCCCATTCATGGAGAGGTCAACAGCAATCAGTTCAAGACTCAACTAAAATAGGAACCCTCACATAACCCACACAACGGACAATCCTGGAACACTTAGCTCAGATGATCAGGAAAATTGCACCACCAAGCCCCACAAGACATCTACTATATAAGACCACCATATCACGATTGTGAGACATAGCAGATCTACCTAATAACACAGACAAAACAAAAAGGCAGATGAAATGGGTGATAAAGAGACATGATTCAAATGAAAGAAGAAGAGAAATACCCAGAAAAAACTGAAAGAAATGGAGGCAACCATGCTACCAGATGCAGAGTGTAGAACACTTATAACGATGCTCAGGGAACTTCGGGAAACAATGGATGAAATCAATGAGAGAAATAAACGACAGTAATACAATTATAGTAGGAGATTTTAACACTCTACTGACATCAATGGATATATCATCCAGAAGAAGAAATTAACAAGGGAACCGTGGCCATAAATGACATTAGACAAGATGAATTTAATTGATATTTTTGGAGCATTTCATCCCCCAGCAGCAGAATATACATTCTGTTCCAGTGCACATAGAACATTTTCTGGCATAGACAACATGTTTGGACACGAAACAAGTCTCAGTAAATTTCAGAAGGTTAATATCATACCAAGTATTTTCTTAGACCACAATGTTATGAAAATAGAAATCAAATACAGGAAAAGAATGAACAAACATATACATATATGGAGGCTGAATAACATCTTACTAAGCAATGAATGAATTATCAATGAGATCAAGAAAGAAGTCAGAAGTTATCATGAGACAAATGAAAGAAAAACACAACACCCAAAATTCTGTGGAACACAACAAAAGCAGTCCTAAGAAGAAAATTTATTCCAATACTCACCTACCTCAAGAAGCAAGGAAAATCTCAAACATCTAACCTTATACCAAAATGAGCTAGAAAAAGAACAACAAAGTCCAAAGTGAATAGAAGGAATGAAATAATAAAGATCAGAACAGAAATAAAATACAACCCCCCAAAACAATCCCAAATATCAATGAAACCAAGAGTTAGTTCTTTGAGAAGATAAACAAGATTCATAAATCTTTAACCAACTCATCAAGAAACAGAATGAGAAGACCCAAATAAAATCAGAAATGAAAGTGGAGAAATAACAACTGACATCACAGAAGTACAAAGGATTATAAGAAAATATGATGAACAACTAACTATATGCCAACATTTAGACAAAGTGACATAAATAAATAAATTACTAGAAATATTCAGTGTTCCAAAAGTGAATCAAGAAGAAACAGAAAACCTGAACATACTGATTGCAGCTAATGAAATCAAAGCTGTGGAAAAAACAAACTCACTCTCAAAAAAAAAATAAGTGAAAGTCCTGGACTGGATGGCTTCACAGGTAAATTTTACCATACATTTCAAGAACTAACATCTATCCTTCTGAAACTATTCCAGAATTTTAGTAGGAGGGAAGACCCCCAAGCTCATTGTGCAAGGCTAGCATTGTCCTAATTCCAAAACCAGATAAAGACCTAACAATGGAAGAATATTATACGCCCATATCCCTGATGGACATAGATGCAGAAATTCTCAACAAAATACTAGCAAATTGAATTCAGCAGAACATCAGAAAGATCATACCCCATGATCAAGTGGGATTTATTCTGAGGATGTAAGGTTTATACAATATCTGCAAACCAGTTTTTGTGATACACCACATAAACAAAATAAAGGATAAAAATCATATGATTATATCAATACATGCAGAAAAAGCATTTTACAAAGTTCACCCATTTATGATAAAAACTTTAAGCAGTGTAGGAATAGAGGGAACATACTTCAACATAATAAAGGCCATGTATGGCAAACCCACAACCAATGTCATATTCCTTGGGGGAATAAACAGAACATTTAAGTCAGGAGCAAGACAGGGATGTCTACTTTCACCACTTTTATTCAATGTAGTACTGGAAGTCCTACATACAGCAATTAGACAAGAAATAAAGGCACCCAAATTGGAAAGGAAATGAAACTCATTATTTGCAGTTGAAATTATATTGTATATAGAGAAACCTATATATTTCACCAACATCTACTAGAACTAATAAATCAGTAAAGTAGCAGGATACAAAATTAATATTCAGAAATTGGTTCACCTTATACACCAATAATGAATTATAAAAAACAGAAACTAAGAAGACAATCCATTTATAATTGATTGCATCAAAAAATAAAGTGCCTAGGAATAAATTTAACTGAGAAGGTAAAAGATCTGTACTTAGAAGATTATAACATACTGAAGAAGGAAATTGAACAAGGTACCAATAAGCCGTGTTCATGGATAGGAAGAAATAACATCGTTAAAGTGATCATAATACCTAAAGCAATTTATAGATTCAGTGTGAATCTTATCAATATGCCAGTAGTGTACTTTACCAAATGTATTAAATAATCCAAAAAATTTTGTGGAACCACAAAAAACCCTGAATAGCCATAGAAATCTTGAGAAA